GCTATGATATTAATCATACCCCTATCTACCTAATTAATATAATTCCTTTGTCAATTATACCGTCAGTAGAACCTGACCTTTTCTGAAATCCCCAACCGCCAACATTCAATCAACCAGCAAATTCAAAATAACCTAGAATTTCAGAAAATTGCATTTTTGAAATTTCCTTGGAGATGAGGAGGGTAGTCTTATAAAAACGTAATAACTGACAAATAAATCAGTAAGTAAATTATGAGACATATGCTCAGAGCTAAGCATACACAATTCCCGCACCTGGACCATCACCGTCTTTCGGCGGCAGCATCTACTGCTAACAAGACAATTAAGAGTTCGATTCCCACAGTCGTACACACCATTCACTTTACTCTACATGGCAGCATAGCGAGTAAAAGACTATTTGGAAGTGAAGTCTTGCGAAAGACTGGCGTCCTATGTCTGCATTACGAAAGCCTACAAAACTGGGACATTCTGGGCCACTAGTCTCGTTTTATATAGATATGGGCTGAATTATATACTTATAAAGCTCCAACACAGTCAGATGGCATTTATGCTAGCTATGAATGCCACGACCCAATTGTTGACTTTATAATTGTAACGTTGGGCACCACTGACTCCCCTAGACAGAAAGCTGTTAGGTAACATAACTATATATTTCATTTTATCTCAGTGAATTTTAACCAAATGCATGAAGCAGTTGTTTGTCTAAAACATTATATATTTTTCAGGATCAGATTCCGTTTTGATATGGCCTTAGCTTTCTGAAGACTTTAAGCCCCTAACCAACAAAAACTCAGACTCGGACAAAATGCAAAAACATTTATAATACTTAATATTAGTATCTATGAACTGATGTCTTTTGATATCAACAGAAACTTCAAACCTATACTAAACAAATTACATTGAAACATTATCGAAAGTCAACAGTCCCTCATCTATAAATACACCCGACGTCCGGAGGTACACAGCACGCCCTGACTACACAGAATACCGGGCCACGGGGCGAACATTTTCTACCAGAAAACGTTCTCAATAAAACTCTCGGATGACCGAAGCTTCTGTCTACACCGGCCACCCGAGGGTGTCCTTGAGTTTTGACACAAAAGGTCAAATAGGTTTCACCCCAGTAAGTACAACCCACTCGTGGCGACGTCGCGTCATGCTGTCAAGTAATAGCGATACAATGGTTCTATCTTTGGAATGTCTGCGTTCCAGAACCTGCATGCGATTCCATGCCTGTCAACGATTAAGGCAGAACGACTTCTACGGGTTTGCGTGATAGCGCTGGCATGTTCACATAAAATACTGCAGGATGTGATCGGCCGTAAAAACTATATAGCTTTACACTAGGATAGTTAAATATGGCATGTGCACCACATTCTTTATCAATGCAACCGTTTTGCCTGTATTTGTGAATTAAATTTCCATTTGAGCAAAAAAAAAAAAAAAAAAACAACGCTCTGAGATATTGATTGCTTTTCTGTGCAAACTTCTATTATTTTTTTTATTCAAACACTAAGTTACCGACGGCCTTGTGGCTTTTTGATACCGTGACCTGCCGGATGGTGGCGAATTTCTACATAGTGGTGATAAGACCAATATGGTAATAGACAGAACAGGAAAAAGAAATTCCTGATAATTCAAAATATTGTCTAAATCGATGGCTGTAAAGTGGCCCATTTGGCCCTTTGAAACTAGTGTAACCGCTATAGGTATACTAAAATGGGTCTGTGTTCTTTCACAACTATTTCCTTTTAACTTTTTCCGCACATGTCTTAAACATTTCTCGACGTTTGTATGCTTTATTGAAGTAAAAACAGATACTTTAATATATCAAATTATGTCGGAACTGTTTTTATTTTATTTTTCATTTTTTATTTATACCAATGTCCCCAAGACAGCCATCATCCGCTGGTCTTTTAGCAACATCTGTAGGCCACGGAGATGACAAATGACGCGTAATTGTCTTGCGTCTGTGGTGTCCATGAGATTAGTGGGACCGCTGTTCAATGTTCGCTAGTGCCAGTCTATCTAGAGTTTGTATAAGGAGGATCAAGAATTTGAGCTGAACATTTTAGTCAATATCCCATCATCCCCTTTGATTATGTTTTGAAACAACGTTTTTACATATGAACACCTTCTACCCCTATACATTGTACCCCACTTCATGTTTTATAATACTGTACCCGATAAGGCCACCTAACACACACTTCTTCTTCTTCCTACAACAACGACAACAACAACAACAACAACAACACAAAATGACCTTATTGGACCGAACTCTTTGATAAAGTAAAAGCTATCAAGAAAGTATGGTTAGTTTTCATTTTTAAATGTCGAACCGATTTATTTTTAAATTGTACCGTCATTTGTTAGAAAATAACGTTTTGTTTTTCATCATGAACAAACCAATGACCTCGTGAAATAATGATACCATGGTTTGTTGAATTATTTTGTTATTGTACTTTAAGAATAATCTGCCTTTTCGGCATGCATGACACGTTGTAACAGAGCATACAGTATATATACATAGACGAAACGTGATGTACGTCAGGACATATGCTGGTCGCTTTCAGAGCCAGATGAGAGTGAAATTGGTATTTTATTTGGTATATAAAATACTCATACCCGGTTTTCCTTTTATTACTCTAGGCGATATAAGTCCATACACCGCTGTGATGTGCAAAGAAGAAAATGGCAAAGCTCTCTGCCTACTACACAATCTTCATGGTGAGCTGTTTTACTGATCTGAAATACATGTATGTCCTGACGCGTGTACTGGGGTCATTCCCGTACTGGTTTTAAGATATAACACACATACATGCAGAAATGTTGAGGTGAATTTGTCCCCACGGTAAAACTCTTCCTGGTGAGATGTTGTGAAAGATAAACAGTGCTAATTGGTATTATAATTGAAGTATCAGTCCAAATTATCCACGTTGGAATGGTACAGTTTAGGTCATTTCTATACAGACGAAAGAAACAAACCACTATGCCCAATGCATTGGAAAATGCATATTTACAACGTTCTATGTACAGAATTATTTTTGATCAACTATTTAAGCATTTCTTGTGAGAAAATGTGTAGTCGAGGCCTCCTGTTTAAGCTTTTAACGGTCAGAAAGTGCGGGAAATAAACACAATAGAAACATGATAACTGTAGTTTTCGAGACAGTTTCACTTTGAGTGAGATTTGAAACTAAATATGGACATATTACTAGCACCATAACAGTGTTGTTTTATATGGTGTATGTACTTTGACGATCACAAATATATCCCATAATATCTCATAGCAAAGAAAAGTTTAAGACATAGTTAGTCTGAAAAAATCATTTAATTCAAGTCATAATTCAAGACAAGTTCTCAAATTTGGAATAGATTTACTTCTCCATATAGATTTTATAATACCAACAACTCCCATGAAAATTATTTAGTTTTAAAATAGTAATTGCGCCACATTCGTGTTGCTTCATGGTTGGAACCAAATTATATAGCGAAACCCAAAGGCCACAGAAAAACTGAAAACAAGAGTGTTCATATAATTTCAGGTGTCAACGAAAATACTTTCGTAAATATATTAAGAATTCCGGTTCATTTTACATTGTAGCCATGGCATTGAAATAATTACAATTATCCTATACCTATTTATAAAACTAATTTTGGTTTTAAATATAATTTTAAATGTCTTCATTTCTGGTGAAATGTAATTTATGGTTTTCTTTAAGAATGTTTGACGTGCTGCGACAAGAAGAGTGCTTAGCTTGGGATGTTCCAATCATCATAAGTTAAATGCATGCTTTAATGAACACTTGTGACATGGGGGTTACTGTCGGTTTTGTTCATGTTTAATTAAGTATATACTGGCCAATATAATGTTAACACTATTAATTTACCTGAATAACATTACTTTGATATATTTTCCTTGATATCGAATCGAACAGTAAATATTGAACATGTATTTCGATATCATCTTTCATGAGATAGAAATATCGTGAGCAATTATAATATAAAGGACACCATGTTTTATTGATAGCACTTTCAACGTCTTTATTATACATATGCCAACCTCTTTTAATTTCTTTCAACACCATATTTTATATAGCATGTAAAATCATTTTGTTATATACAACACCATAAAGAATTTACACCACTATCTTCTATAAACTTTACGACACCACTTTTTTTTTGTTTTCAAATATACATCATGTTTAAGATGTACATGTTAAAAGACATGGAAAAAAACCTAGATAATAGAATGTATGGTACAATATCATCTGTGTCCGAAAAAAATGTGACGAACAGCTGCTTTTACGTAGAATTATTCTTTAATTCTTAAAAAGCACATGCTGATAAAGGAAATGCATCAAAATACCCCCCCCCCCCCTCCAAACCCGAACTCCTCGTTCTCCGCCAATTAACAGACATTATACTATGAAAGCATATATAGACCGCAATGGACTACATTGCAAGGTGACCTCGATTGCAGTCGATGCACATAGTGGTAGTTCTATCACTTTAATACAGAAACGAAAGCGGACGTAGTATGCTTTATTGATTCGCCATGGACAATCCACACAGTATATATACATTTTATATGTGTGTATACAAAATGAAAGCGAATTTTCTCCCTGTAAAAACTATAACGCGGGAAAATGTTGTGAAAATACACTTGTAAATCTCAAGTCATTTCTTTATTTTGCAATTATGAAAAAAATGATGACAAGAATGTTAAGTAATGAAAATGACAAGAGTCTTGACAACATGTAGAGCATTATTGTAAAAAATTAAATAAAAATATAATCTATAATCTTGTTAAAAAAGACAAATTATAACAACTTATTATTGTATAACGATGTTTTAGTCGCAGAAAAATATACGGATCATCCATTTATTATATTTTACCTGATACTTTAAGGTTATTTACCCACTGCAAATACGTTGTTACATTCAGGGACACGTTAATATGCGAGACAATATGGACAAAGTAGTTTAAAAACACTTACCTGTGCTGTAGACATCATCGTTAAACACACCTGTACAGCCAGAAGTACTTCTGCCTTCCGCGAGCTAGGCCTCGTGTGTGACCCACGGAACATAATAGGAAGCGATACGTATTTCATATATAAATATCAACAGCTTGATTCTGTACAACACAGGTGCTCTCGTAATGTTCGTGTGCATTGATAAAATGCCCTTTCGTAGTATAGTGCTAAGGGCCTATGGGATTGGGTATTTATACCGCTGGAATCAGTAGGCTATTTCATTTATTAACATAGAGGTATGTTAATAAACGTCAGAATGAATAGGCCATTAGCGCTGTTTCGTGTGCCCGCTACGTCAAACCGATACTCTTGCCTACAATTGGTCCAACTATCTAATTGTAAATAAGCATATATATTCATACTCATAAAGTAGCTACCACCACGTGCGTGACTCGATCTTTTCTAGCACACTGTGTATATCACAGGAGAAAACAACCGATAGTATGGTACTCGTCATTTTACTGGCGAGCTTATCCAGAGTAGGTACGCCAATATAACCGTACACGTACGTAGTCCTGCTTGACTTCTAGACAATGGTAGTGAAATAAAACAGCACATCAACTTCGTGTGCTAGCACGGATGGATGCAACACCAACGCGGATTGTATTATCGAAAGATGTTACAGTATTAGTTAAAACGAATATCAGGGATACATATATACTTTGTCAGGCATTATAGTTTTACTGCTTTTATTAAACTGTTTTCAAAGTTATTTAATATTCAAAGGTTTTCCGTGAATATGAATTTCCAGATAAATGTAAAACATTAGAGGTAGCTTGATTATGAATTATTTATAATCATTTCCTTTACGGACATAGATAGATACATGAAGAGATACACATTTTCTCTCTATCGTATCTTATGTTCCTATCCGTAATTATTATAAAAATTAAGTCATTTGCAGACACACAGGAAACAGATATATACTAATGTATCGATGGATAGTATTTTTAGACCCAGAACTAAACCAACATTACAATGACTTTCTAAAACAGAACACTAACTAATTTTTTTATCAGTTGTGAGCAGAACAAAAACTATAATGTATTCATCAACTATAAACATAACACGGAGTAGAACGTATTCCTGAACTAGTAACAAAAGATTAGATATAATGTATCACTGAACTAGTAACAAAAGATTAGATATAATGTATCACTGAACTAGTAACAAAAGATTAGATATAATGTATCACTGAACTAGTAACAAAAGATTAGATATAATGTATCACTGAACTAGTAACAAAAGATTAGATATAATGTATCACTGAACTAGTAACAAAAGATTAGATATAATGTATCACTGAACTAGTAACAAAAGATTAGATATAATGTATCACTGAACTAGTAACAAAAGATTAGATATAATGTATCACTGAACTAGTAACAAAAGATTAGATATAATGTATCACTGAACTAGTAACAAAAGATTAGATATAATGTATCACTGAACTAGTAACAAAAGATTAGATATAATGTATCACTGAACTAGTAACAAAAGATTAGATATAATGTATCACTGAACTAGTAACAAAAGATTAGATATAATGTATCACTGAACTAGTAACAAAAGATTAGATATAATGTATCACTGAACTAGTAACAAAAGATTAGATATAATGTATCACTGAACTAGTAACAAAAGATTAGATATAATGTATCACTGAACTAAGAATATAGTACAGAAACGAGAAAATACACGTATTCCCCAACAACAACAAAATGAAGAGAATAAAAATATAAGAACGTATTCCATAACTTTTACAATAAAAACTAGCAAGTTTTCCTCAACTAAGAACACAACATAAACTAGAATGAATTCCTCAACCTAAAAAGTAAATTGACATGTGCTCGGCAAACAAGTACAGGACCATAGAATATAGCTCAACTAAAAACAGAAACTTGCTTTGCAACACCGACATAAGAGGTGGAATTTCAATTTGAAAGTAATAGAAAGAGACTATCCAGAACAAAACGGTAAAAGTTAGAAGTCGTGTTACTATAAATCCTTTTTAAAGCAATAATTGAAAGAGAAAATGGTCAGAAAGTTCCAGTCGTATTGCATTTGAAAAGAACTTTTACATTACTTCATGTAAACCTTGGAAATATTGAAATTATGCCTATAATTATGATAAAATCTTCTACTGGTGATATATGTGGTTAAATTATAAATGTAGATCCCATCCCACTCCTTACCCCTTCAAACACCATTTGTTTTCGACGTATATTTGAATATGTATTCCTTAATACAGGGTCAAATGATGAGCAATATGGCTGTTATGGAAATTGGTGTTTTTCTCATTTATTTTTAAAGCAATAAATTAACGTTATCATTGCCACATTGGAATAATGATAGGTTAGCGGTTATGTGTTGGGGCATTGCTTTCAGGATATCACAAGAGGTAAACGCATTATTAAAGAGATGGATATCTCCGTTGTGTCACTTCTATGGTATGGCTTGCCTTTGAAATATAATACGTTTACACCTATTTACACAAGCGTAGGATCCGTTTATCTTAAATGTCTCTTCGGGTGGTATCTTTGTTATCAAGAACGATGACGAAACAAGCGGAAATGTCAGGCGCTGGTACACCTTTTCGCTGCTAACATGTAGGGTCAAATTCTGAGGTCATTTCATCTATAACCATTTTCACCTTTCACTAGAAACTTATTCACTTTGAAATATGAAACCGAATTTAAATACCACAACTTCAGTACACTATTACCAAATCAGAACCGAAAGTCAATGTTAAAAAAGGGAGCGAAAAAACCCCACTGAAACAACAGGAATTTAAAGACATCATCAACTCCAACAACTGAAGTTAATAACATGAATCGTTAACAGTTATTTGCCTACTAATGGAAAATAGTTGAGGCATTTAAAGTTTACTGTGTCGGAAAAGGAATTAAAGTTCTCTTCCTTCTATTGAAACCAATTTTTGAATAATCTTGGATTCTATGCTCAAAATAACCTTTTTGTAACACGCTTAAATCATGAGACAGAGCCCAAAAGTCAAGTGTAAACATCGAAAACCGGATACAGTCTTTCCAACATTTTCCCAAATTGTTCATTAAATGTAAATTGTTATAAATGTAATTAATTGATAACTGAAATAAAAAAAAAAAGGGCATGAACACATTTTCGTTAATACAATCCAAGGACTATTTCTTTATCGTTAATTGAAGGATTAATACGTATGGGATCTTGAATCGTTTTCTGTCATTTTATAAACAAATAATAAGAATAAATATGGGGATATATTCCCGGACGTTGTATGTAATTTGTGTAGGAGTGGCTCTATTAAAACCGTTTAATTCGTATTATCTAATATTTGAGAGTATTTCAATATATATCTTTTCAATGGGTTAAGGTTATCTTATCTAAACCAGTTAAGAGACAAACAGATCATTTGCTGCCCTTCTCCCTCGTTATTGGCAGAATAACGTGACCTTATTGCATGTCCAGTAAGGTGATACCTGTACTTTAAAATGACCGTGTAGTGGCTTGATCATCTTCGGGCTCCGTGACCTTATTGCATTAGGTAACCTTGAAACACAAGAAACTAATTAACAACATCAATCTACGATACACAAGGATGGTTTACATGCTTCATATTGTGGAAATCTCCTTGAAAGGAGATGAAATATCAGTATGTTAACATACATCCTTAAATATTTTATTCAGTAGGATGCAATATTAAGTGAACTAGGCGTTAAACTGCTCGAATCGATATATCAGGTCATCGAAAGGTCACGCGGGAAGTGAATAACCTCTAACTAGGCAACGTGTCCCGCTGACACACATATACAGGCTTTATAACCGATGTTACCGCATCACATTCCATTCAACTGCGTATTGAAAAAAGACAAGCCCTCTAGAAGACGTCATGCACATTTCGATCTCTGTTTATTGAAACTATGTGTAGGTGCTTTCTAAAGCGAAGTTAAAACGTTCTCATTTTAACCTTGAAATGGTCGATGTACTTTAATGTTTTATGTGATTTAAAGATAGAAAAGCAATTATATTCGGCATATCATGTTTAATGGTAAAATTCCTACAATTAAATGTTTTGAAGTTTTTATATTCGTCCGTAGTATGTAATTATATATTGTAATACATTTTCTCAACTCATCAGTTAGGCCATTTTATTATAAACTATGGATTATATAGATTCAGCTATTCTTTGAAAGGTCTATTACTTACAAACTTAGTTATAAATAGCATTTAATGACAATTTCATATTTCCTTCAACGAATTAATTAGTTACAGTTTTATAGTGGTATATTTCCCTTACTTCATTAGACTTGCAATAAAGCAAACTATGACTGTACAACGTTTCTTGATCACTTGCTCTGCTATGTGTTCACCAAGGCCGTCAACATTATTTTACTATCATTCTCATTACATTTACCTATAAATCAGGGTTACAGTCGTGATGTGACACTACACTCAGAAATGTATTGTGGATTTAGAAAAACACAAAAGATATTTAAACATCTTTGAGCTTCCTCTCCTCAAAAGTGTTTCACTTCAATTCTAGACACTAACATATAACATACCAAACCGAAAATAATGCCTTTTCTCTTATTATGTGAACTTCTTTTCTAAGAAAAGCGGAAAGCGATATAACTTTAGTGTTGTAAACGTTTTTAGAGCATAATTTGTATTCTTTGAAAATCCAGACGAAGCCCTTTCAGAAATTTGTTAAGAAAAAAAATCGTGAAAAATGTTTTTCTCTGTTGACTGACAAAATCTTCGTTAAGTTCTTTGGGAAGATATTCCATCAAACTATCGGGACAAACTCTTTCTCTTTTTTGTCGACTTGATTTTGTTTTCATTTGATGCTGAATTTATCGAAGAAGCTATCAGGATTGGTAACACAGTCCTTTCAAGTCATTCAGTTTAGTTTTTGACATGAATATTAAAGATATGTTGTCTTTGAATAACAATAAATATATTGACCGCTTTAGGCTTTCCTAAACATGGAATCAAACTTCCCTCGACTACGGTGTTTACATGTCTCAGTCGGTTCGGTGTTCAAGGGTTTGCTCCCAATATAAATTTTAATTACTTACTGAGAACCGACAGCAAAACAGAAAAGGGTTTATTTAAATATGGCTCCCTCTTAAAAGTTTGCATTATATTTCGTATAAAACTCTGTTGTTCTATTCCTCACCAAAAGACATATCACTATTAAGTTTAGTCTAATATAATAATAGTCATGCTGAGAGAAAGTGGCTCAAAATAGAGTAATGGTGTAGCTGTTGCTTGCAAAACT